CAATAATATATATTATTTATCTCTAATAAAAGAAATGAGCTGATGGTCTTTTGTCTCTATTTTAACTAACCAGATCTGTGTCCTACTCACTGGCTAGTCAAAATAGAAAGCTACTAGATGTGATTCATTAGCTCCTTAGTGAAGGATAAGCAGGCTGTACCAGAAAGGGCAGCTTTTATTGTCAAAGGAAAATGCTTGTTTCCCAGGTGAACAGAGGCTTGCTGGAACTCAGCTGGAAGGATGGAAGACAAACCAAGCATCCAGCCTGCTTCCTCTAGAGAAGGCAAACTATAAGCTCATTTCTTAGACAGCTGCAACACAAAAGAGCAAGGAAAGAAGGGAATTAATTAATAAAACTGATTATCATCTCCAAATAATCTGGATTGTAATAGTGGATCCTAATCAAATTTTAACATTTTAATACATACATTAATGAAATATGGAAAATTTCAGATTTAATATAAATAAGCGGGGGGGAACAAGAGTATATACTACTAAAATTCTCCTGTCTGTCTGTATGTCAACTTCAATTAGCCAAAATGATGCATCATAGGGCAACAATTTTTGAATCCAGTAACTTAAAAATTGCATAGAAAATCCAAGAACCATTATTCCCATATAATTGAAATTTTAATGATCTTCACACCAATTGCATTTACAAATTTGCAGCAATTGCAGTACCACTGTAGTCAGCCACAGTCACATAATTGTGACTGTGATTTCATAATTGTGATAATTGTGATTTCTGACCATATGTCAGGTTCTCACAAGCAAAGGGGAAGCTAGCAGGAAGTCAGAAGCTGCTCCAAGTCCCACTGCTTTTTCCCCCTGTCCATGGTCATTCTGTTTATCTCTTTAGCTAAGTAAATATTGATGAGGGAAGACCCAACATGTTATAGGTTGTCTAGTATTAATTAAAATTATGACAGAGGATGGTCAAAATCAGCATATTTGATTGGTTTCATACTGGAGATGGTTAATATCTGGGAGTAAAGAATGTATTATCTAGAATACTTTTTTTTCTAGAGAATAGCTATATTGAAAAATGATGTGCCTTTTTGCAAAAGCAAAAAGTTCTCAATTCATATAGCAAGGCAAAAAAAATGAGGTCAAATGCAAGTGTTGAGGGATGCTAAAGAAAGGAAGTTCAGCAGTACCTATTTTGAAAGTATATCTTGTGGCAAGCTGTCTGGTATCTTTTAAAGAATAGGTCTTGTTGAGGAAGAGAAGGTTGTTAAATTTAGAGGTGTAACAGTAACAGTATAACAGAGTTGGAAAGAACCTTGGAGGTCTTCCATACTGGACAATTGGCTGTCCAATCTGACTCAGCCTTCCATCCTTCTAAGGTCAGTAAAATGAGGACCCAGGTTGTTTAAAGAGTCAGCAATATGCTGATTCTGTAAACTGCTTAGAGAGGGCTGGAAAGGTCTGTGAAGCAATATATAAGTCTAAATGCTATTGCTATTGATTAGGATATTGCTTTCGATGAGAGATGATATGAGAGTTGAGAAGTGAAAGGTGAAAGGTGAGAGGTGAGGGGGGAGAGAGAGAGAGACAGAGAGAGACAGAGAGACAGAGATGGACAGATAGCACACAAGATGTTTAGTTTTGTGTTTGAAAGGTTAATTTTTATATGTTCATGTATTGTGTGTTTTTAATATTTTCTTTATGTGTAGAAGTATAACAAAGTTTACATCCAGAAAAGAAGGATGTTTGGGAAGGGTTCATGAATAAATGAAACTAACTAGAGGCAGCAAAGATACAGCCTAGCCCTAGAGAGATTTACTAAAAAAATCCTAATAAGAAAATTGGACAAAGTAATTGGGTTGTGGCTACTTAATCCCATCAATGTTTTTCTACTGGTTAACAAGAAACTATATTTTAGCATCTGTGCCACCTCTAAAAGACTCGGTATTTTTACACAATAAAATGATTCTCCTTACACTGTTTTCCAGTTATGGTCCCCCAGTACTAACAGAAAATCAGAGCTTTAGAATGTGGTGCCCCACAATGCAAGATCCTTATAAAGGGTCTTCCTTTCTCTTTCTCTTTCTTTTCCTTGTAAGCTGGAATCCAACAATCTTTTAATAAAGTCCAGAGTTGGATTGCATCTTTCATATCCATGATGTGTGTGGTGTGTGTGTGTGTGTGTGTGTGTATGTGTCTGTCTGTGTGTGCGTGTGCATCTGCACTCCTTGTCTATTCTTCTATACTGTTTGGCTTCTTCTCTTTCTCCTATAACATTTGTTGGTGCAGCATCAACCTTTGCTTCTATATTCAGTCTGAAGTTCAGAGTCAATTTATTTCAGATGGTAAATAAGTCCAACGCAATCTGCACAGTAAAAACAGTAATAGACACCCACAGATAAGGATATAGCCTCCCATCTCCTCCACCCATCCTGCAAGTTTTCTGCATATTGTTATTGATTGAATTTCTTCATAGTTATGTCCAGTGGTGGGATTCAAATAATTTAACAATCATTTCTCTGCCCTGATGACCACCTGGGTAGGCATGTCTGGGTGGTCATGTGACTGGGTGGGAGTGGCCAACTCAACATCACTCACACTGAGGGGCACCCCACCTGGCCTCTCCTTGCCTGCCCACCTGGGCTCCTTAGGGCCTCAACAGGAAGCAGTTGTTGGAGCTAAGCAACCACCATGAGAAAGAGTTGGCAAAACATCTGGTTCAGTTCAAATTGGATCTGACCAAGAAGGAGGCTCAGCAGAAGCACCTCACTGAGGACTATGAGCATAGGCTTTCTAAGCAGATGGAAGACCTGCGGGAGTGCAAGACCACGTGCCAGCGCCTGGAGATGGTCAGCCAGTTCCAGGCTATGATGCAGTCCCACTGGAACAAGACCCTCTGGCTCTTCACCACCAGTGGCGCTTCCCTCCAGCCTTTGCCCAAAGTCCAGGAGGCTGAAACAGACCCCAAGTTGCAATTTCTGCCTCCCTCCAACCCACACAAAAAGACCCCAAAAGAGGAGATTCTCTGCAGCAATCCTGGCATGGAGCTGGCATGAGCCAAGATGGGTCCACTCCAGCCATCCTCCAGCAACGGAACAAACTTCAAGGGAGCTCAGGCCTACTTGCGAGAAGTCCCATGCTCCTGGGAAGATGGGGAAGAAGCTCTCTGGTTTGCTGGCCTCCCCACTCTCACAGCAGCAGCCGCCAGGGAGGAAGCACATGGAGATAATACCTTGGCAACTGGACTGTTTCTCTCTGATCCTCTTTCCTGTTTTGTCTGCTGGATCGATGCAGAGGGACCCCAAAGCAGCTCTAAGGCACTCAAGGAGAGGAAGTGTGGGGAAATTGATACAGGGGGACATCAACCCTAGCTTTGCTGTCCATTGCAGCTAGGCATCTCAAATAAGGCTGAGAATGAAAGTTTGTGTTGTAGCCAGCCTGGGCGCTAGATCAGTTCTCCTCTGTGAAGTCCTTGTCTGCCGAGGAACCTGGATGAGGCCTTGCTTATAGCGTGCTGAAGTGCTTGGACTCCCAGTGATGGAGGGAGGGGCTAGAGCTACTAAACAGGAAGCCAAACTAAGTGCCTGAAGGACCCCATCCCATCACTGGGAATCCAGACACCTTAGCGGGTGGCACATGAAGTCAGCAGACGAGGACTTCACAGAGGGCCAATTTAGCATCTGGCTGGCCACAACACAAACTTTCATTCTCAGCCTTATTTGAGATTCCTAGCTGCAATGGACAGCAAAGCTAGGGTTGATGTCCCCCTGTATCAATTTCCCCACACTTCCTCTCCTTGGGTGCCTTAGAGCTGGTTTGGGGTTTCGCCTGCGCGGACATCGCTTGCTTGAAAGGGGACAGGGTGGGCAGTTAGAGGACCACCAAGATGCCAAAATGGCCTCAGTCTGGCCAGACAGGAAAGTGCAAAAAGGTGGCAATTGTCTTTGCATGAGAAGCATAAGCAGCATAAGAAGGGAAAGGGAAGCAGGCTGTCAACAGTCCCTTACTCTTACCCAAAGTATGATTTGACCAGCCCAGAGAGGAGAGCCCGGGCAAGGAAGGAAGGAGTGATTGGGAGGGGAGGGGTGAGGCTTCAGGTGATTTGCCAAACTGAACAAACAGTTGGCTACTGGTTCTAGTGAACTGGTAAGAACTGGCTGAATCTCACCACTGAAAATAAGCCATGGATTTTCCCCCTCAACAGCATCCATAAAGAACACAATAATGTAGTCTTCACAGTATGAATCAAATGAAACATTTCTCCCACAATGGTAATTAATGGTGGTTCTGCTATTATCTCTCTGACCACTGTCAGAAGATAATACTGACACACTCTGCTTGACTGCTTAGGAATTGGCCTTGACAATTTGGTAAGATTTCATCTTGTTCACCGTATTATTTAATATCTACAGTATCTAAAGCAGCTAGATTTGGAGCAATTGTCATCAATGGGTTGGTGATAGTTGCCAATGCTTTCCTTTCCTGCAAACTAGAGGTTTGATATTTCAAGCATCTCTGCATATGAATATTATTTCTGTAATGGGGAATTTTCTGTAGAATACAATAGAATTCTTTATTGGCTAAGTGTGATTGCTCACACAAGGAATTTGTCTTTGGTGCATAAGCTCTCAGTGTATATAAAACATATAAATTATAAATAATCAGAACAAATTACTATTGGAGCTGACACACACACATATGCATGCCTGCACACAAATATTATTAAAATTTACTCACAGCCTTAGCCAGACATTTCGGAGAGATTTTTACATTGCAACATATATGTTTTTACATATTTAATGTTTAGTTATGTAAACCTGCCTACAGATACGCAGGAATGAATAGAAAATAAATCTGTAATTAAATCAATTCAAAGTTTTCCAGTCTATTGAAATTATATCTAAGCAGAAAATACACATCAATTATTTGGATTCACAACAAAATCCCCAGTATTTCTTCAGATGATATCACAAGCAGTTATCATAACATGATCTTTTTCTTCATCATCATCATCATTGCTCTTAAGGTTGTTCTTTTATTTCAGAATATGCTGGGAACAATGTAGTCTGTGTGATTGCCATCAATAAGGCCATCTCCATTGTTGTGAATAAACCAACAAGGGATATTGGCGCCCTGTTGGATATCAGCTATGTAATCCTTCTGCCATCCCCTACAATATAACACAAAAAGCAATGAGCTTAGAGCATCCAGTTCATGCAAGCATTTCAATGTCAGCTAAAATGTCAGGCTCTCTTTACCTAGTTACTCTCAGCTGGTTATTTTTCACAATCATGGTGGCATCTGGTTTTTGTGCATCTGAACCAGAGTGGACATCAAGTATATCAAAGTCGATTGGGTGGAAAAATTGCCCTTAAAATAAAAATGGTAGCAACAGCAGTAATTATTAAACAATTGCCAGTCATTTGAGAGCAAAATAGGAACTTGATTAAATAGTTGTCAGTCATAAAAGCAAATACATCTTGCATTCGGCAGGGCTAATTGTGGCTATAAGTTGCATGTAACTACTTTTATAGCTACCCTATTGAGGTCCTAATTCTATTTTTTACTTATACAGAAATGTTGGATACAGTCCATTACTCTCCTGCTTTCAAACAACTTGCC